GTTTTACCGCCCCCTGCACCCCACCCCACCAGTTTTAACCTCGCGATTTTTGGTTATTTTCGCAGCGCCCTAATTGTTACGCACGACGTCAAGCGCGTAGCCAGGGGGGTCCTGGGAGCCCTAGCACCCCCCAATCAAAATCAAAATCCCAAAAAAATCAAAGAAAAATCCCCAAAAAGCTGCAGAAGAAATAGTATTGTCAACAAAACAGCGTCTAAATTAATTTTAAAGCACTATTTTTACATTTAACTCAATTTTTTTTTAGACCACCAGACTTTTTGTTACTTGCTCGAGGACCCCCCAATCCAAATTCCTGGCTACGCCCTTGCACGACGTATGTACACACCAGTGGCGTACGCAGGGGGGGGGTGTTTGGGGTGTTAAACACCCCCTTGCCTTTGTCCCAAACAAACATTTTAAAAAAGAAGAGGAGAGGAGAAAAGGGAGAGAGAGAGAGAGAGAGAGAGAGAGTGAGAGAGGAGGGAGAGAAAGAGGGAAAAAGAGAGGGAGAGAGAACAGAAGGGCCCTATTATCCTGTTTATTAAGTTTAGTATTTGTAAACACCCCCTCCCGAGCTGAAGCCTGAAGGTCGTATGGCGCGGCGGCCGGCTTTGATGTACGCGATCGATCGCGTACTATATAGTATACGCATGCTATCGTGCTATACTGCCGCGGTAAGACTTCGGTTACTCGCTCGTTCAAAGGGCCGATTAATTGAGCTCCAGCCAATCGCGTAGCTCAAAAGATATCCTCTACTTCTACCATCCTAGACGGTATTCTAAACATGCATGAAACTGCGTTTTACGATTCACGTTTTCTTGCATCTTTTTCATCATAAAAAATATTTTGGAACTCTCTTTAGGTAAGTAAAATGACAAGAGTCGGATATTTGAATATGTATGATCGGCAGGCGGTATCTCTACATTTTTTTAAAGTAACCGCAGTCGCACATTTTTCACTCCGAAATGTGAAGAGCGGGCGGGTGACCCGAACCAAAGGTAATTTTTTGGTCGGCTTTATTAGCCAATAAATGATGTGAGTACCCAAGGAATGTATGATGACAAATTTTTCTTCTGCCAAAATCATGATGATTTCAATGAAACAATAACAAGTAAAATATGATATAATACAGAAAAATGTGCAAGGAAATGCGGTATTTTTAGGCGTTATTTTCTTTTCTTTTTCAAACTCGAGGTGGGGACACCCCTTCGAGCACCCCGCGTCGCCGCTCCGCTCCGTGCAGCGCTACGCGCTGCACTCCGTTATGCGGCTGCGCTATGCGCAGCGCTCCGCAGTCACTAACACGGGCGTAAATCCCGTGAGGGGTGGGGGTATGCATCTCCCTGCTCTTGAAGGAGGG